TGGAGAGAAACATCAGTAATAAGTGCATTTTCCTGAGCTTTACGTATTGCTGTGTTTATGGGGCTTTACATATCAAGTTAGTCAGGAGAAATTGAATAAAAGCATCTCAGGTCTGGGAAATGAGAGAAGATTATGAAAAGCAGGTTTAATACAGCATCGGTTTTCTGATGTTTATGGCACATTTCATCATGTTGCCAGGGGACACCCAATTACACCGTTTGCCGAGTAATCTCAAGTGGAGTGTACTTCGAAGAGTATTAATGCTGATTCTTCCCCCATACCTTTCCCATTATGTACATATTTCTTCAGATGATCTTATCCTTACCTTGATGGAAATTATCCATATCTGCTGGTTAATTCTAAGTTGTGAATTGCTCAGAGCAAGTCTTCGTAACATCTCCCCGCTCTGTTGGGCTAGCTGTGATTTTGGCAAAATTCCGTGATTTTCCATACCAGCAAAGATCAGTGTCAATGCGTTGCTCCAGAGCCAACTCTTGCACCAATGATCAGTTGATCTTCACTATTAGACAAGGCACTTTAGGGCACAAATTCTTAGATCATCATCATCATCATTATACCTCTTCCAAGGAAAAGTACTCTGTGTACTGCTTCTGTGAGCTTGTGAGCTGGATTTGTTCTGCATGGGATCAGCTTTTTGGAGAGAGATCAATGAGGGTTTTGTTTGTTTGTTTGTTTGTTTGTTTGTTTTTTTCTTTCAGGAAAAGGAGCAGTATTTACACTTGCAAAACCTGAAGTTATTAATGGGATATTATTTGAGGAACTATAAAATACGAACATTTAAAATAGTTCAATTCCCTAACAGACTAAATTTGCGTTTTCAGGAAACTGAGGGTCAGACCTAGATATGCCATTACTTATGCTGCTACCCCTTCCATTGCTGGGTGGTGGTGGAAGTTTTCCAACTGAGGTCATGATAGAGACGAAGAGTTAAAGCCCTTTTGTCATGCCACATTTCCAGTTCAGCACCCTTCCCCTGGACCTGCCATTTCCTCCCTAAAAACCCCAGCAACATTCAGGCAAGCCTTAACAATGTAAATTGCCTAACACCTAGTTTGGTCCTGACTTGAGGAATTCCTTGGGTCAGAAAATACCATCCAGCTTCTTCTTCTTTGAGCCCTTGGAGACTCTCCTGATCTTTAATCAAAGAAAGCAAAAAATTATCCTGATGAACAACTTGCAAACCATTTCCCCTCACATTTTATTATTATTATCGGAATATGAAAACAGGCAATTTTACATAAAGTTAAGACAGACACAACTTGGGTACATGGCATCATGCTGTGGCCTGTTTCAAATGAATACAATCGTATTTCTTTTTAAACTATCAGAATAAATAAATACTATACATGTTTGCATTGCCAGATAGTGAATCCTACAGCACAAAACTGTTACATTACAGCTTAATTTCTTTATTTATCTTTACAGAAAAATTATATGGTACATAGCTTTGATGTTCCCCCCCTTTAAAATGCTTTGTTCCTTATTCAGATATGGCCAACATGCATATTTGTGGCTGGGAACTCATTGGTCAGTAACATGAAACAACTTCACAAAGCAGATGCTAAAATCTTTCCACATCCCCACCCACCAAGACACATCTAAATTGGCCGTTCCTTCTCCTCATTAGCTATCAAGAGTTTCAAAAGCCAGAGAGGACAATTTAAATTCAATACTAGGTGCATAGTTTAGGAAATACATCTCCTTATTAAGTCAGGGCAGGTCTTTAGAAGGAATTTCACTCTCAACCTTTGTGGCTCAGGACGCTTGTTAACAATGCCCGTCCTTTTGTCCCATTATCCGCACTGAAAGCAGATAATTGTAGGCAACTGAGAGAACAACTAGGGTTGTTGAGCTTTATTTTAGGAAGACCCCAATGTTGGTCAGCTTTTTTTTTTTTTTAAGAAAAACACAAAAAATGTGATTATTTGATTGACTTGCCTAAGATCCAGGGCAAGTCAATTCAGAAATTCCCCCTGGACGTCAATTCCACCTTTGAAATCCCAGTAATGTCTGGGAAAGTCCAGATGTATGGCAGCCCTAAGCATCCTTCTATGCTTGTTTACTTCAAAGCAAGTCCCACTGTGTTCAACGTGTGTTTAGGATTGCAGCCCCAGTCAGCCTTCACCAACCTGGTGCCCTCCCCAAGTATTAGCTGGGACTGATGTGAGTTACAGTCCTAAACATCTAGAGGGAACCATGTTGGTGAAATCTGGTTTAAGCATTATACACAACTTCCTACTATTCCACCGGCTGATTTAGAAAATCCCAAGGGATCTCTAGTGCTATTCTCTTTTCTTTTGTTTGGTACCCAAATTAGTGATTCTATCAATCAGCTTGAGTCATAATGAAATCTTTACTCCCAGGAAAGATAGCCGATAGCCGACAGCCGACTCGCTCTCCACAGAGAATGACTCTTCTTCAACTGCTGTTAGAAAAAGATGATCAGTATTTTGCCAGGGAGGAAGCTTCCAGCCTTCCTTTCTCCCAAAGTTCTGCTTTGTGGGTGTGCACATAAGACCATTCAGTTATGTGATCCCTCCACCTGCAATGTGAAATCACATAGTACAAAAACTCTAATCTCATCTGCTGTTGGTATGGACAAATGCAGGCCTCAGTGTCATTAAATTTAATGAAATTTACAGTGCGGTGATCCTATGCATGTCTTCTCAGAAATAAGTCCTAATGAATTGTGGCAGCAGAGCTTTTCACCGCCCCATCAGAAAGGCCTCTGACCATAGATCCTTTAGAGAGGCAGCTCTGTAGAATCCCGTGGAGTCTCAGCCACCCTAAAGTTTCAGTCCTATACCCGCTTACCTGGGATTAGGCCCAATTGAAATTAATGGGAATTCTTCTGAGTAGACAAGTATAGCAGGGGTCGGTCCCCAACCTTTTGGTGGCCAGGGACACTTTTGGCAATCTAAGAATCTGCTGTTGGGCATAACACAAAATGACAACTTTAGCGGGGAGCGGGGGAGAGACACCTGGTGAAGCTCTGAACTTCCCCTTCAAAAAGCCAGATTAAAGAGCTACAGACTCACAAAACAAAACAAAACATTTTAAAAATGCAGGGCCACCTCAACAAGAAACTCACTCTCAGCAAAAAAGCAAAAATGTTTTTTCTTTTTTAAAAATGGGAGGAGCAGAAAGCGTTGGTGGGCAGGCAAAGAGGATGTCTGAGAGCATTATGGTGCCCACAGCTGCCACACTGGGGACCCCAGATGTATAGATTGCACTGTAAATAATTTTGCAGTATTCTCTTGAAACACAATCTTTGTTTCTAAAGATCAATATCCTACAATTTTGTGCAAAATACAATAGGTAAATCATAAGCCTAGCTTGTGTTTTCTTGTGATATGTTTTATGACACTTTCGAGTAGGAAATACCAGACAATATGGCATTCATAGCGGGTGGAACGGTAAACTCATTTTAGAACAATCTTGTGAGTTCATGCAGATTTTACAGAATAAATATTTCAAGGTCAAGGTGAAGGAATTTGAGACAATGCGAGGAAGAAGAATGAGCATATAAATAAATTCACATGTACATTCCTTTCTTGGTTTATAGCTAAACCAGCTGTAGAGTTTGGGCCTTTTTACAAGAAATTAGTACGTTCATTGCAATATTTATAAGGGGTGTGTGTGTGCGCAGATAATGAACTGTCCTCATGGAAATGTGCGATCACGTCCACTTATTTACCCTCGAAAGGAATGAAACAGGAAAAAAACAATGCTTGTTTCATTTCCGAGACAAGTCATTCTCATCTTGGAATGTTAATAACTTTCTTTTTAAGTAATTTTACTGAATTGTGAACTTCCTATATGCACATATGAAACTCTCCCCTGCCCCCCCCCCCCTAGAATGTGAATACTGTGGTGGAAATTGGATCAGACTACTATTGGGAGAAAGAGAGCCAGATGAGAGGGAAACAAGACTACTTTTTCCATTTTACTCTAAACTCTAGAAACAAGCTGAAACACAATCTAGATCTGGAACACAGAACCCATGGCTCTCTAGATGCTGTTGGACTCCAAATCCCATCAGTCTCTGCCATCATGGCCAATGGTCATGGATGATGGAAACTGTAGTCCAGTAGCTTTAAGCAGCAAAACAGGATGCACTGCTCCTAGTCAACACTGACATCTCTGAAATTGAGTGAGAGTAGATTTTCAAGCTCCCTGCTAATTGCTTTTATTTATTACAGTTGTATACCACCCTCCATCCATAGATTGTTAATTTAGGTTGCAAGCCTAAGCATACTTACAAAGGAGTAAGCCTCATTTAAAGCAATAAGACTGCACCGTTAATTACTTCTACTAAGCTTTTTAAGAAACATACTTTCGGGTATAAAAAAACTTCTGCTTTCCTGTCCTCATTTGTTTAAATAAGGCTGCTATCTCAAAGTGTAAATAAGGTATGAGGTCTAAACTACAATATCTTGAAATAAGAGATGTGCTTTTTAAAATCAGGAGCACCCAGTAACAGCAAAGCTTCCAGTTTTGGGAGACCAGACTCATAACATTACATCCACAATCGATGCTTCACCTATCATGGAAGGCATTCCTATCTGTCTTCAGAACCCAGTAATAGTAATGAATGGCAGGGATAAGGTTTTGATTTTCCCAAACCAAAAGTGATGGTCTGTCTATGCACATAAGCACCTTTCCAATCAACTTTGTATAGAAATGTTAAGGTGTACAGATATGATCCTAGATGAGTTTCAGTTACTCTGTATAACGTATCCTCACTGTTCAGCCATTGGCACTAGAATAACTTTTTAAAAAATAAAAATATTATAATTAGGTTTAGCAAAGACCTTTCCACTGGAATTGTGTTGTGCATTGTTAGGGAGAAAAGTTAGTGCAAAAAGTCAGATTTTGAAAGTTTTATTCAGTGATACAATATTCTTTGTGAAAGGCCTTTGTATGTATCATCAGCTTTTTAAAAAGTGAACTTGAGGTCTTTATTGATCTTTATATCTGGTGTGTGTGTGTGTGTGTGTGTGTGTGTGTGTTTATAAAAGCTATCAATGTGCTGTTTAACTAGTTCTCTTAAGTTTAGGTGTAGAGAGATACTGACAGAAAAAGAAAAATGGTCAGGAGACAAATATACATGGTTACTGAAAGGACCTGTCTGTGGTTCTTGGTTTTGTAGAACAGATAGCTGAATTCTAAAATTAACAGGCTGGAAGTTGATCAGTTGAAGGACATAGGAAGCTGCCTCCGTGCAAGTCAGACCATTGGTCTTTTTAGTTCCGTATTATCAGCCTTAGTGGATGGTGGGGTGGGGTGGGGGTGGTACTTACTTGACCTGTGGTTGCTCACCTTGCTGCTCCACACCACAACAGAGGTGGTGGCAAAGTCAGTATAGTATAAATGCACTGCCTGATTGGTTCTGCCGGTACATCTGCAGGTGAGTGGCAGTGCCCCACACCACTCTCTGCTACTGATTGTCAACACTGACTGGCATTGGTTCTCCAGGATTTCAGACAGAGGTCTTTCCCAGTCTTAGCTGGAGATGCCATGGATGAAGCCTGGGACTATATGCATGCAAAGCTCTACCACTGAGCTACAGCCCTTCCCTAACAAGATACTTTGACCCTGTCTACAGCTAGATCCTGACCTTATTCTGCGTAACTAAGCAGTTGGATTTTGTATTTTTCAAAAATGCTGGGTTAACTACTGTATGTTTCTTCTTCCCAAACCTCCATAGCACCCAGCAGAGCCTTAGATGAATGACTGCTACCTTTTTCCACATTAAGAGTGTGAATTAAAAAATTCAACATAGCACTAAGAGTGCCCCCTTAGCATAAGCATTTCTGCTTGCCCGATGGAACTATCTGCCTTTTCCTCCCGCTGCATGCTGCTCTAGGGGTTCTCCTGATGCCTTCGGGGCCAATTTGGGGGCTTGCAGTGGGGAGGGCAGAAGTCCTTGCATGGGCTTCTGCTGGCAGGGCCAGTAGGTTGAATCCAGCCCCAGGGCTCCAACATCAGCCAATGTTTTGCACCCACCCACCCTTTTGTTTATCATCTAGACTAACTTTGCATGCTACTTTGTCACATTTTGGTTGGCCTAGTAGATGTATTGCCCTAATGTGTGTTTTGGAATAAATCCATCCAGTTAACATGTGCATCAGCTGCAGGCAACTGACTCATAAGACTGGATCTCACAATCCATGTTTTCCCTAGGAGTATCCACATGGCCCATGTAATTGACACAGGTTGAGCTTGAGGGACCTTGCCAGGTTTCTTTAGCCATGGATTGTGTTCTTGCATTGCCTGGAAGCAAGGATTCAGTCCCTTCACTTTCGGTTTGAGCTTTACATCAAATCCTTTCATAGTGCTTAGCTCTGGAGTATATGAATTGCCACTGTGGTCATTTGCTGCAGGTAAACCAGATCATGGATATTAGTAATGCATTTTGATTAATTTGTTTTCTGCTTTTGAAGATCTCAGTCCTCCTCAAGTTTTTCATCTGAAGCCAGAAATTATTTGGCATGGGGATCATTTTTAATTACTTTGCTAAATCTCTCTTTAACCCTTCACTCTGTTTATCAAAGATTTGCAATGTGAAACTGATAAAGGAAAACAGTGGAAGATGGCACATTCACACATTTTAATTACTCTCCATTGTCCAAATTAGTATCAATGTTTACATGCAGGCACACTAAAATCTTGTAATGGCACAGTCAGTGTGTACAGTTCAGCAGGCAGAAAATGTCTCTTCATCCAAAAAATTCTAGTGTGTTCATGTCTCTCATTTCATTTGAAAAACTCATCTAGAAATTGGATACTGTCCTACTGGAAGTGCTTTAACCAGGACAAAGTTGCAACCATCACCTGATATTAATAAAATGGGGCAATTTCAAAGAACTAGAGGAGAACATGGCATTGGGGGCTCAGAACAGCTTTCAATTAAACCATACCTGGATCAGCTGGTTTTTGTATTATTATTATTATAATTATTATTATTATAGAGTTGATTCTATCTACTATCTAAGTATAAATGTAAAAGAAAAGGGAAGGGAGGTGCTTCACAATTCTGCATAAGGCAACACTGACGTTAACACACAAGTGAAGGAACATTTTCAATATCATATAAACTATGTACAGTATGAAGCTCCCCAGTCCCACAAAGAAACAAAGCAATCACATTTATCGTAGCGCCATCTAAAGCATCTCTCTGAATATTACATAGTTTGACTCACAGTTCTGAAGACAAGTTCACATTTTTAAGACATCTTTCCTTCCTCTGGGTTGTTAGGATTATTTTTACAATGGGCCATGGAAACAGGCAGTAGCAACGTCTGACGTGGAAACCAGAGCTATAGGAGACTTGGGTCAACATTTCCCCCAGGACTGGTGGGAGCAACATGACGTGGGACAGAGCCAAGAGCTGTGCCGTGTGTTAAAGACAAACCCATTCAGTGGCAAAGGCATGGCGCACTTCCTTAGGGTCATCTGTTGGTTGGGTTCTTGCCATTTCCCACCCCCCTGCCTGGCTCTCAGTTTGGTAAAGTATCCAGGCCCAGAGAGGCAGCGTGTTGCTTTGCTCGCAGCCGAAGGTTCTCAATACTCGTCGTTTTACTGTTCAGGCTTGGAAGAGAGGACGAAGCCTGCAGGATAGGAGAGGACCACACCTGTTGGGCGTGGGAGAGCGACTGGTAATAAGACTGGCAGTGCAGGGAGCTTAGGGGTGCCATGTTGACATTCATGCCCAAATAAGGCATGGTGGAAGGGCTCCCCATTTCAAAGGAGGAGTAATGGACCAAGTTGTTTGTGGCGGCCATGTGCTGGCGGAACTGCTCTTGCAGGCGGAAGAGGCTGAGGGGCGAGGAGGAATAGGAGTGTGTCTGAGACATGCTGCTACTGGAAGATGGCGTGGCCGTGGCATTGATGGGGGAATCTGCATTGTTAAGCACAGCAGAAGAAAGTCAGTCAAAATTATCAGCAGCACAGAGTACAAACCTGAAAAGAATGGTTTCTCTTGATGTTCAAAAGGTGTTATATCCAGCTTGCTGCAACACAGGGCAACTTTGGAAGATACAGAATGGTGTGTGGGTGTGTGGGTGTGTGTGTGTGTGTGAGAGAGAGAGAGAGAGAGAGAGAGCAAGGAATGTGAGTGTTGGGAAAGAAGCGCCAATCGCTTGCCTTGCCTTTCCCACCAAGAGTTGGAAAAGGACTCCTTTCCCCCATTTCCTACATATGCACATTTACACCCTGTTCAAATGGGGACATGAATGTCCAGGGACTGGCAAGCCAAGAGATTGGGATGAGAAGATCTGAAGACAAATTGTAGGAAAGGAACATTTTGTTTGATCTTGGTCCTGGACCAAAGATAGGGAGCCTGTGGCCCTCTACATGCTTTTGGACTACAACTCCCATCATCCTTGGTCATGCTGCCTGGAGATGATGAGGGTCCGAGTCCAACAACATCTGGAGGGCCACATGTTCCCCATCCCTGCCCTAGTATACGTGAAGGAGTGTCTTCACCCCCATCATTCTGCCTAGACACTGAGGTCCAGCTCTGAGACCTTCTGGCAGTTCCCTCACTGTGAGATGTGAGGTTACAGGGAACCAGGCAGAGGGCCTTCTCAGTGGTGGCACCCGCCCTGTGGAATGCCCTCCCATCAAATATCAAGGAAATAAAAAACTATCTGACTTTTAGAAGACATTTGAAGGGAAGTTTATTCCATTTTTAATCTGTTGGCAGCCACCCAGAGTGGCTAGGGAAACCCAGCCAAATGGGCGGGGGTATTATTATTATTATTATTATTATTATTATTATTATTATTATTAATAATAATAACAACTAGACTTTCAGACTTTGGCTGGATCAACACAACCAGCAATTGGCTTATCACATGGCACCTGAGGGTAGCATCCCACCATGTAGCTAGGCTCCCTGCCATCACCACTCCCCTTCCTTAGATTACCATGTGGCAGCAGATAGATGGTAACACTAGGTTAATAATGCAGTCACAGTGCATGCATTATGCAGTAAGCTTTTAAGTAGCAATTGTCTGATCTGCCTGGATTGAACATACTCAAGGATAAACGGCTTGTGTGATTTTTTTTTTTAACCCTACCTATTCACTGCAAGCAGAAGCTGCCTATGAATCCCTAATGAATTGTATTCACCATGGGGGTGAAGTCTGCAGCTGAGCATGGTGTATCATATCATATATGTAGAAAAGATGGCTCAACACTGTAGACATGTATGTATTTATAAAGAAGTGTCTGTATACCACTAAATAAATAAAAAAGATCTTCTCAAAGTGATGTACATAAAATCAACATGCAGTCAAAAGAGAGAGAAAAACATAAAAAGCAAAGATCCAAAGAACACAACAATGTGTCATGGCAAGGTAAGCTTGTAGAAATAAATAAAGAAGTTTTAAGCTGGCACCTAAAGCTCAACACAGATTGTGCCTAATATGCAGAGGCAATAAACTCCACAGTCTAGGTGCTGGTGTGCCAAGTGCCATTTTAGCAACACTTCTCTAGCATATTTCAATGTCTGGGCAGGAATGTATGGAGAAAGGCATTAGGTAGGGTGGTCCTAAGTTGTTTAGTGCTTTGTGCACTAAGAGCAACACCTTGAATTTGGCCAGGTGGCATATTGGCAGCCAATGTGATTGTAAAGCACTTTGGAGAAATAGTGCAAATGGTAAGCAGAAATATGCTTTGCCACAAAGTCCTTAATGTTATGTGTGAACTGGGTCAGTGTCATGATGACTACATCCAGCATCAGAGGCAATATGTTTCTAAACAGCAGTTGCTGGGGAACAGCAGTGAAAGTGGCCTGATGCACTCATGTCCTGCTTTGTGACTTCTCATTGGTATCTGGCTGGTTACTGGGGCAAGCAAGATCCGCCTTTGGTTTGACCCAATAGGGCTCTTCATATATCCTTATGTTTAAAATGTGGAACTGTGATTCACATATTTGGGATCAACCAAATCTTAACTTAATTCTTAAACAATCTTCCCTACATGAGTTTCAGAAAACGTGTTGTGGAAAACGTATGGAATAGTAACCATGTAAGGTCTTAGCTATCATGGGGCTCTGCAGGTTTGTTGGACTACAATTCCCATCATCCCTGGCCAACACCTGTAACAAATCTATGTTTTGTTTTGTTTTTGTTTTGAAATTTTATTTTATGGTTTCGTACTGTTTTTATTTTGAATTACATATGGGGGCAGCATAATCTTTTCAATGCTTAGGTTCCTGTGCACAGCCTGCCTTTTGTGATGTTCATGTTTTCTTTGTACATTAAGTGACTGGAATGAAAGTGCTAGCTTGATCCTTTAAAAGAGAGGGAGTCAACATGGTGCCCTTTGAATGCTGTGAAGTACAGCTCCTATTATCCATGATCTTTGACCCTACTGGCTGGGGACTGATGGGAGATGTAGTTCACAGAAGCTAGAGAGTACCACATTGGCTACCCATGCCTTACTGAGATTATCTGATGGGCAAGAGAAAAGTCTTTGCTTCTGAACCCATCCTTAGGCTCTGCTCACATCAAAACTCTTCCCACAAAGGAGAATGTTGCTTTCCTTCCTCACCTGCTTTTGGGCTTGCTCTCTTGCTGCTCAGTGCCTTGTTTTCAGCTCCAGGGCTCTTTTCTGCTTTGTTCTCCTCCAGCGAGATCTTGAATTCTTCCTCTCTGTCTGTCTGGTCCTCAGCTGCCGACTCGCTGGCCGACTGCTCCGAGAGAGTCAGGTTGAGCTCTGCGTTGACTTCACTGGGCAGGCTCATGGATTTGTCTGCGTCAGGAGTCGGAGTCTGTGTTTCTAGGACGGGAGTGTCTGCTTTGCCCTCACTGTGGTTGGCTTCAGAGTCCTTCTGCTTCTGCAGCTGCTCCTTTTGCAGACTGCGCTGCTTCTTTCGGAACTTGGCTCGCCTGTTTTTAAACCAAACCTTGGTTTGGAAGAGAAGGAGAGGGACCGGAAAATTGGTTTAAATTAGACCAGTGTAATCTAACAGTGTTATTTAGTCTGTAGCCTCTCTCCATAGTATTTCCTGTTTTGTTCCCTACCTGACATTGCACTTGGTGGGCAATCTTTGTTCACCTGGGAGATCATATTTGCTATTCCAGGGACTGCCTTAGATAGCTTTGGTTTTTTTCTCCCTGTTTATAATTCTCAAACAGACCTTTTAATCCTTGACTGTGCTTTCTAATTCACAACTATATTTGTTAATTGTATTTTCTAACTGTACTTTCCTATGGGGGAGTGCGCATGTGCATGCGCGCGCGCGCGCACACACACACACACACACACACTATCTTTACTATCTTTTAATAAATCTTGGTTACTTGCTATGGTCTAACTTGGTTAAGCAAAGGCTCATGGAGCCATCTCTTCCTTCTTTTGCATCTCAGTGGTGTCTTTTAAGGTCTGGGAATCTACTGGCCCAGACTGGTTGGGCTTAAGTGTTGACAGTGCAATACTTTTCAGGGTTTAGATTCTGGTCATTAGACACAATCTTTCTTTTTTTTTTAAACGTATTTTTTAAAAAAAGGTTTCTTGGTTTACAAAAGTATGTCTCTTTTTTCAAGTTACATTTTCTACAGATCAGTTTCATTCGTTGAGACATTAGTGTTACATTAGGAAGAAAAGGGGGAAAGAGGTGGAGGGGGAGCCATGGTGAGTAGGGGGGGTGTCAGGTGGCGATGTTTCTATTCTACTTAATATATGTGTGGGGTTTTGTGTCCATGTCACTTGTGCAGGTTCTCTTTAGTATTCGCTTGTGGGTTTTTTGGTGGTGTGAGAGGTTGGGGTTGGCTAGGGTGTGGTTGGTTGGTTGGTTGTGATTGGCTGTGGTGAACTTTGTATTCATGTGTGAGTGGGGTGGGTGGGTGTTTTGGATCAGGTTAGCCATATTGATTAGTATGCTGTTGGTGAATTCTTGTTGTTGTCTTGTTGGGCTGTGTATATGATAAAGGGGAGCCATACAGGGGTGAAGTCAACTTCTTCCATTTGTCTACGTGTCAGTTTCAGTTTATTGGTTAGTTTTTCTAATACTTTTCTAATAGTTTCCCATACTATTTGCTACCATTGGTCCATGTGTCATTAGACAACATCTGAACCAACAAGAGCTGTTTCCTGGGGTTTGGGAGCCAGCCCTTGACATACGGTTCCTTAGAACAGCTTTTGCAAATCTGGTTTCCTCCAGATGCTTTGGAATACAATGTTCATCAGCCATGGGTGTAGCCGGGGGGGGGGGAGGACATGCCCCCCTAAACCAATAAAAATCAATAAAAATACATAGCAAACTGAGGTTCTGCCCCCTAACAAAAATCCTGGCTACACCCATGCGGCATCAGTCCCAGCCAGCACAGTTGTTCTTGCTGGGCCTGATGGGAGCTGTGGTCCAAACCATTTGAAAGGCACCAGATTAGTGGAGGCTTTCAAGAACAATGAAAGCTATCATCTGAAAGAATGCTACATTAGAAAGAGCCAACTCTTCATGGTTCAGAAATGGCCGACAATGAACCCTTGAACTGCTATGCTTTTTTAAATTTTATAGTTCACTAAAGTTTTCACCATTTTTGTTTTTACAAAGCAAAATAGGTTCACCTCCCGAGCACCCAGTGGGTTCACCACCACCAACCATCTGCCCACATTAACTGAGTAGGACATGTGACAATATAGTGCAGTTGGTGTGGCCACACAGGTGATGCCAGGATTGAGAAGTAAAGCACCTTGGGTGGTTGTAAGCACAGAGCCTGAATGCACAGCCTCAAGAAGAGGGTTGTGAAACCATGCCGTGGTAGCTGTGGATCTAAAAACTTTACAAAGTCCTTTGAATGAATAGCTCTGCATATCACAAAAGCACACCGGGGAGAAAATATGCATGCACTACCCATTATATCTAAACAAGACATACCATTTTTATGTTGCAAAGGGAGGCAACATCTGGGCTGTGACTAAGGGTGAAGTCAGGTGAAATGTTTATATGTGTGGTAGAAATGGGTTTTGACACCCAGGCACACCATTCCAAGGCACTTAAAATTTCACATCTACCTTCACCCAGGATGGTTAACATGAGATGGTAAACATTATGGGTACCTGAACTCTGGCTTCTGGCAAATTGGTACACATGGCCAACCTCTCCCTCATCACCACATCTGGATAGTGAGTCTTCTGGAAAGTTTTCTCCAGGGCTTCCAGCTGCTGGGCTGTGAAAGCTGTGCGGCTTCTCCTCTGTTTGCGGTGCTGGGAGCCATAACGGGCCTCCAAAATGATGTCTTGAAACGTACAGCCGTTGGAGGACAAGAGAAGTGGCCAATTTAATTAGTGTAATTTGTGTGCATCATATAAAGAAAAGCATTTGGGCAGCTAACAAAGCAGCTTAAATCAGCCTTTCTCAACCTGTGGGTCCCCAGATGTTGTTGAACTACAACTCCCATCACCCCTAGCTAGCAAGGCCCGAGCTCAGGGATGATGGGAGTTGTAGTTCAACAACATCTGGGGACCCACAGGTTGAGAACCACTGGCTTAAATAAATGGGGAGATTTCTAGTGTACAGCTTGAGCTGGCTTTAGATTGGCCTCTCCATGTGGTTGGACCTCATGAGATGGTAGGTCCTGGGGGCCACAGGTTCCCCATCCCTGATCTACATAAATAGCAGCAAAACTCTGAATGTTCTCTAGATGCTATTTGTTTTTATTGTATTCAACTGAAGAAACTGAGGCCTAAAGAAGTGATATGACTGTCCTCCAGAGATGCTTCCATTGGTCAGTATTTCAACCTTCAGAACACTGCTGGACTCCAACTCCCATCAGCCCTAGCCAGTATGACCAATGATGAAGCTGGGAGCTGTAATCCAGTAATGCTGACATCAGAACATGGATCAGGCCAATGGCCCATCTAGGTCAGCATCCTCTTCTCACAGGGACTGAACAGTTGTCTGTGGGAAACCAGCAAGCAGGATTTGAGCACAAGAGCACTCTCCCTCTGGTGGTTTCTGACTTTTTGAGCATCTGTAGAAGATAATCATCTCCTTCTGACCATGGAAGGCTTTTAATCCATTGGAGGGATCCAACTGGTGGAGATGGGGGAAACGTGATGTATGTCAGTACCATCCTCCCTCATTCTTCCACATTCTTCCAGAGTGTGTCAGAGGTGACATGGGTCTGCAGGGGGAGGGAGAAGTTGCAAAAGTCACCTTCCCCATCTGCTATACACTGCTAAGTCCAAATGCAGTGTATTGGAATTTGAAAGGACAGGTTGCTGTACAGCCATATGTTATAGTCAGAGTAGCTTGATGCAATTTCTAAATTTGGTATAGCACCTTTATATATTTATTGGATTCTGTATGCAATTTTGTGGAAAATAAGTGCATGAAGCAAAATATTAAAATTCCAGTTTGTTTACTTTAACTTTTGCTCACTATTCTGGAGGCTTCACCTAAAGTCCAGGACATTTTGCACAACGGAGCTGCTATTGCATTTCCTTGGATCTGTGCTCATCTTCAGGGATTTTAAAAATTACCAACCCTTTGGTCTTCTCAAAATTCAGCTGCCATTTCAGCCGTGTCCCAGTAATAATCCTGTACACTATCCCAATGCAAAGACAAGATCCATAAGTTGTTCTTACCAGCCAGTCTCTCTGCCAGCGTCAGGGCATGCACAGACGGCCTGTAGTCTGGGGCATGCTGAGCTTGCTGTGCTGCCTGCTGGTGAAGATTATACATGGCACTCAGAGAATTCATGGCATGAAGAGAATAGCCATTCACTCCATAGTGCTGCATGGTGACATAAGACCTGTAGCAACAGAAAGAGGAGGAGGAGGAGGAGGAGGAGGAGGAGGAGGAGAGAGAAGAAGAAGAAGGAGAGAAGAAGAAGAAGAAGAAGAGGAGAAGAAGAAGAAGAAGAAGAAGGAGAAGGAGGAGGAGGAGGAGGAGGAGAAGGAGGAGGAGGAGGAGGAGGAGGAGAGGAGAGGAGGAGGAGGAGGAGATGGAGATGGAGATGGAGATGGAGAAGAAGGAGAAGGAGAAGGAGGAGAAGGAAAAGGAAAAGGAAAAGGAAAAGGAAAAGGAAAAGGAAAAGGAAAAGGAGAAGGAGAAGGAGAAGGAGAAGGAGAAGGAGAAGGAGAAGGAGAAGGAGAAGGAGAAGGAGAAGGAGAAGGAGAAGGAGAAGGAGAAGAAGGAGAAGGAGAAGGAGGAGACTGTTAGTGCGACTAATGCAAAGTCAACCTTTGATGTGAAACGATCAATCATGTAGATGGAAAATTAGATGTAGATTTCCACATGAAAATCCATCAGGTTCACTTTTCTCAAGTCCAAGGTATGTTCGCTTCAGCTTTAATCCCTGTTCAACCATACCTTGGACCAGTCGTGGTCTCATAGCCTAACCTAGCTCACAGGGTCATGGGGTGTAACAGAAGTGCATGTGGACCTACCAGTGTGTCCAAAGAGCCATCTTCCCTGAAACTGGCACTACTGCTTGCCTGGATGGGACTGAGGATGGGTGCCAGTGAGGATGGGTCCATGCAGGTGCAGCAGTCAGAGTACCAGATTGACAGTGCACAGGTGCGGCCCCTACCTTGCTGCTGCCCCACCCTACCTCCTTTCCAGGTTAGCTACAAAGATGCTGGTGACCATAATATGGCTTTATTTAGGTGTACAGCTGGTTATCAAAAAAAGCAACTGATCTTGTGAAGTTTTATTTTTTTTACACCTGCATTCCCCTCCCCTGATTGTTGTGACATACGGCGTTGACAAATGTATGAACAGAAGTGGACTGAACTAATGTAAAGCTCTGGAAGTACATCAGGCTGCTGGGAGAGAAAGTTGCCTTTCCCTGAGTGTTTTCACCAGAAGCGAGAATGGCATATTTCATTTCTAACCAGTCATCTTTCAAACATAGGAAAATGGGTTGCCTCTAGCCTTAGAAATCTCATTATTCTTTGAATCCTGGCTCTCACAATTTTCTTCCCAACAATTTGGGCCTTTCCACATTGGGGGGAAAGGGGTAGTTCTCTGTTATTCAAGGTGGACCTCAACCATGGTCCTCCCGCAAGTCCCTTTTCAGTGATAATGGCACAATATCCCATTTGCACATAACACAAGCAAACTGGTGAACTGTGATGTGGTTTGCTCTTTTATTTTATTTTCTCCTATAGATGCTAAGTACCCAAATCTTATTCCCAGTATGGTATTTTGTAACATTGCCTGTTGACAAGTCTGTACTTCCTGTATCAGAAAGTGTGTGCATGTGCATGCCTGCAAAATGAATGAACAGATTTTGATAAAACTTTAATAACAAAGCTGGTTACACAAGCACTCTAGGAGAGAGAGAGAATCTTAAATATTCCATGGAACACTGACTACCTATGTTCAATAGCTACCAGCATAATTTACTGATGAAACAAAACATATATTCCAGCAACTCCAAATCAGTGTGCAGGCAGTGAAGCAGTATGTAGAATTCCTATGGAAATCAGGCACATGCAAAAGAAGTTTTAGCACACAATAGTAATAAGTGGTTACATATGTAGTTTATCCAAACACCCATGGGAGAAGGACGAAGTACAAGCAAGTGAAGCTCTCAGTCATGTGTTGGCTCAGGAGACAAAATGCAGGGCCAGCCCCACTATTAGGCAGAATGAGACCGTTGCTACAGGTGGCATATGCTGAAGGGTGGGGAGACGGAAGAGCTTTGTGTGCTACTTGCCCTGTATCTTCCCTCAAGTGTAGTGCAGGATGCTATCCCTTTGCCAATGTGAAGTAAGTAAGATTCAAATGCCACCTTAGTCAGTTTTGATACATGGAATGAGGAAAGGCACCCTCTTGTCCTTTGCCTCAGGCAGAAAAATGTTTTGGCCTAGCCTGGACAAGATGAACGTTTATCAAACATATGCCTCCAACTGTGAGTGATAACAATGAAATTAAAACACAAGGCTCCATCAGCAGGATGTGAGCTCTCTAATAGTTTCCTAGCCACCAATTTTAAGCAAATATCAAATCAAGGGAATTCTGTTCTGGGTGCAAATCCAACTCAGAATGTCTAACACTGTAGTTTGTTTGTGAAAATATTTCCATCTAGCATTTCCAAACAAGTGGATGTATTTGGTACCCCTGCCCGTTGGGGCCAGTCTTGCCAGACTCTGGGGTTGTGCGCTCATCTCACTCTAGAGGCCGGGAGCCAGCGCTGTCCGCAGACATTTCCGGGTCACGTGGCCAGCGTGACAAGCTGCATCTGGCGAGCCAGCACAGCACACGGAATGCCGTTTACCTTCCCGCTAGTAAGCGGTCCCTATTTATCTACTTGCACCCGGAGGTGCTTTTGAACTGCTAGGTTGGCAGGTGCTGGGACCGAACGACGGGAGCGCACCCCGCCGCGGGGATTCGAACCGCCGACCATGTGATCGGCAAGTCCTAGACGCTGAGGTTTTACCCACAGCGCCACCCGCATCCCTCCAGTGGACTTATTAGGTGGCTATAAATAACTTGGCTTCAAAGCATGTTGAAAACCACCTGATTCCTTATGCTCCATCTCAAGCTTAGCTAAAGGAATGCAGGCTCTGGTCTGGTCAGAGCCTGGATGGGAGACTGCCCATGAAACACACTCATGCAAGCAGTGGCGTAGCGTGGGTTGTCAGCACCCGGGGCAAGGCAAGTAATTTGTGCCCCCTAACCCGCGGATTTGCGCCCCCTAACCCGTGGATTTGCGCCCCCTAACCCCCAGATGTTGCGCCCGGTGCGGCCGGCCCCCCCTGCACCCCCCACACTACGCCACTGCATGCAAGCCACCCCGAGTTGCATGATAGATGAAGTCTACTACCTAATTAAATAAAAGGAATCATTTGGGCAGAGGCAGATTTAGGGCAGTGTGACCAGTACCACCACACTGGGCGCCGAGCCTAGAGGGTGTCACAGGGTGTTGCAGTTATGATATAGAGAATTGAGCAGAACAGAAGGTGGTAGGTGGGGGGAGTGCTAGATTTTGGGCTCACACAGGGTGCAGCTGAAATTTGAAAGACCAAAGTCTGCCCCTGGCAAGGGTGTGGCACAAATCCACATATGTTGATGAGAGATCACAAAATCTTACAGTAAGCATCTTTGGGAAATGATGGAAGAAACAATGGCATGAAACCCCAGCTGAATGTAAAAAGGCAAGATTAACAACAATAGCAAAACTCATGTATGGGAAAGGGTTGTCAGCACAAAGTAAATACACTGAAAGCAAAGCTAATTGAACCCACACAAACTATTGAAGAACATACACTGTTTGGGTGTTCACACCCAGGAAAGGAGTGACCTGCCACTAGAAAGTTACAAGGAAAAAACACCTTTGGATTACTAGAAGACAGTGTGGATTTATTCATTTGAACTTGCCAAACCAAATCTGTATTTTTGTTGCTGGAACAGGAGGAATGCAGCTGATAGAACAAGACTTGAAATAGGTAGGTAAGCAATTTCGGAGTACAAAATTTGTTAGTTATGAAAAAATATTTATGAGTGGACCAGATTGCATAAGAAATTATATTTGAGTTTTAAAGGAGGGGACTGAACGAATGCTCATCTTTCCAGGATGATTTGAGTCTGGGAAACTTGGCTCTTGAAGGTCTGAACTAGAAATTCCATGAGATCGGCACAAAAAAACATACAAAAATCTATTCCTGACAAATAGGCTGTGATGGAAACATCATACTGTAAATCAAAAAATCTCTCCATACATCTACCCAATTCGGTTTTATAACTAGTGCAGTTCCTGCTTTTAATAGCACCTCTGTGGAGAAGAGTACTAAAATCTTCCTGTTATCTCTAACCTGAATTTAAGAATGAACAACTTCTTAGATCCATTCTTTGTAGGCTCGCAGAATCACAGTTAACTTCCCATTTGCCTCCCTGCATGCTCCAAATAGAATAAATTAAATATTTAAAAGACACTATGCAGCAATTTTCTTTTGTAAATGGTGGAGGCCATTTGTCAAGCTGCAGCAGTGTTTTGCAAGCTGTCGAATTGTGCTTACATTGGTTAAAATAATCTTTATATTTCATTAAGCAACCAAATAAGCTGATCTTCCCCACTGGCTGTATAGATGGCTTTAATTTTCAAAATCTGCAAATGCATCTTTTATGTCGTTCAGTGGCTGGAGGGCATTGGTAATGCTGCAGCCAATTGGAGAATAAACAGCAGAGTTTGATTAGGTGGTATATTATATAAATTAACACTGTGCAGTGAAAAGAGCATATCTTAAGTTGTCCTTACTACGATGGGGGATTGAACTTTCACCTCTCCTATTAATAATGGTTGCAGCTCCTATAATGCTCTTTGCTGAAGATTTGAAGAGGGTGAGAATTAGAGGGAAGTTTGTGAAAGCAAAGATAATAGGAAATGGAAGCATCTGCAATTGATGCAAGTGAGATTAGCCTCAATACTGTGATGTTAAACGACAGAAATAGGAGCTGAATCCAAAAATTCAAGAACAAAACTGTCCCTTTTTTTCTACTAAGACCTGTACACTTCACTAGGAGTTTGCACTATGAAAAGTCACTTCCTGCCAATATTTGACACCCTGATTTGCTGTCCTTGATCATTAATATCAGACTCTAAAAAGGAATCTAATTTTTACAATAAAAATAAAACTCCTCTGAATTGTTAGTTGCTGTTGTTGCTTTTCTAGTGCGGACATTTAGGCTCATTTTCATATGCTCTTGACAAAATTTGTATGATAATCCTGGTGCAGTGTCATCTCTGATTCTGGAATACAGGTTCTTATGGACATTAACCAAGGAAAATGACCAAAATCAAGCAAC